AACGTATTACGCTGGCAGGCAACGCAGGTCCGTCCCACCCTCATTCCGGTTCTTTTCCTCCGCGGTGCGCGCGATGCGTGTTCGGGGTTAGTTACCACGAAGGCTGGCTGGCGGGGCATAGTCCGTCGCCGCCGAAGCAGCTTTCACGTACAATCTGATCATTGTTCAGTGGCTTGAGAACAGAAATGGTAACGACGGAGCGGTGCCCGGCTCCGCGAAGCAATCATATCGACGTTGATGTCTGTTTCTATATAAGGGCGTCTATTGCGCTCGAGATGGTGTGAAATTCGCCTAGCCCAGAGGGCTTGGGTAAGCAGAAGACGGACGGGCTCTGCTGCCACCCCCTTCCTTCACTGCCAGCTGATCCTCTTGTCTGGCTTCCTTCTTTCCTTTGCCATACGCAGCCAAGTTTGCTGCTGTGATTTTGAGGCAACTGGTTTTCTGCCAAAGTCGGGAATGCCAATCCTCAGGTTTTGGATGCAGATATCAGTTCCATGAAGACTACAAGCCGGCTTGCTTTGGTATCTTTGATTTCTCTTCGGATCAGCAATAGTGGGCAGCGACCCTGTTTCGAGCGATGTCTTGGATGTTGTCCTACTATCGGACCAGTGATCGGGACCCCAGAAACAACCGTTGAGTGTGAACGGCGCACAACCATGATAAGATTGCTTGCCTAGAGCTCGTCGTGGATCTCAGGCTTCTCTTCTCCAGTCTCCTTGGTTGCCTCCTCGGTCTTCTCAGTCTCTACCTTGGAACCGTCTCGCCCCTTCACTGGGACCTCCTCCATGACCTGCTCCACAATCTCCTCATCCGCAGTCGGCTCACCCACCTGCCAGGCATCGGCGTTACCTTCAGAGATATCGGCGATGTGCTGCGCGACCGCGTCTACCGTGATCTTGTCCCCTTTGAACGGGAACGCCAAGCCCACAGCCGGGTTATAGACCGCCACACCCTCGGTGGCATCCGGCGGCAGGCCAAAGAGCGACGGCATATCGGGGTACTCGCCGAGGTCGACCGTCACGAAGGTGATGTAATCGTGGTACTGCTTCGCCATGGGTTTCACAGCCGATGTCCAAGAGTCTAGGTTCTCTTCGACCGTCGAGAAGAAGTAGGTCAACGACTTGCCGGACTGTGAACATCTCATACGTTAGTAGATTGCCTCTTGGACGTTACATGAAAAACATCTGTAAGACTGCAAAAGGGTTGCCAACTGACGCTTAAATACTCGGCCTCATTTCTCCTCGTCAACCGCGGCACGAGCTGCGACGCGCACTTTTTCAGCATCTTCTCCATCGAGTCGACCTCGTCCAGCTCGGACGTCATGTGGAACGCGCCGTCGGCGTTGTTATAGCACGCGATCCGCCCGGGCGCCTCGTCAATCGTCGTCAGCCCAAAGGCGTAGCGATCGCGGTAGCGCCCGGCCATATCGGTGAAGCGCTCGCGCAGGCTGGTCTCGGACTCGGCCATGTGCGCAATCAACACCACGTCGTCGTCCTTGTTGAAGGATTTCGCGGCCTTGCTGTCGAGAGGGACCACAGCGGGGCGGAGCATGCGGCGGACGAAGGCGGTGATTCTGCAAAAAAGAGAGACGCGGGCGGCTTAGCTGAAGCTCCTTTGTGAGGTGATCAAGGGGGGGGGGGGCGATGATGATGAACATACTCAGAGGCCTTTCTGGGGCCGCGGTAGTGGTGCTTCATGCCGCCTTGGCGGTAGAGGCGGATGGCGGGGTAGGAAGCGACGTCGTGTTCGGAGCAGAGCGAGGCTGAAGTCGAGCAGTCTACTGAAAGAGCGGCCGGGACGGCATCTTCGACGGCGGACCAGTGCTTTTCGAGGGCTGTGCTGGCGTCGCTGTTGTCCGTGTTAACGAATGTTGCTGTAGAGGTGCAGAATGTCGTACGTTGAGGGCTTTGTTAAGGTCAGCGCGTTGCTAAGATGTGGCGGCAGCATCGAACTCGTGAGAGTATTCGCAAGGGCATCAGCTCAAGGACCAGAGGCTCGGCTTACCTCAATAACTGTACATGGCGTCAGCATGCTGTCGGAGAGAGGTCTCGTGAGACTGGTACAACTTACACGCTACTAGGCTGTGCTCGTTCGCCTTGAGGGCATCACGGACTTCGGTTTCGGTCTTGTGCTGCCAACCCAGACCCGCGCCGGTAAGTGCGAGCAACGGCAAGAGAGTCTTTAGAGACATGGTGAGGAGCTTTGGCGAGAACAAAATGTGCCCTACGCTACCTATGCGATCGGCACCTATCAAGTGAGTGGTGGTGGGGGGGAAAAAGGAAGCTTAAAAAAAAGGCAAGATCCGAAGAGAAGGATGAAAGATTGGCGCGAAAAAGAAGATGGCAAGCTCCGGAGGTAGCTGCCCCCATGTAAGGTGTTGAATTGGGTTTTTGACTCGCCGTGGCTCTCGTGGCGGGGTGCCCCCCTGACGGGGGATGGATGGCCGTCTGATTGGTGCAAGATCGGAGGGTGCGGCCGAGACTCCTGAAACGGCGGGCGGGCAGGGATATTGATGAGCGGCCGTTTGATCGCCGGAGCCAGTGGGGTCGGTGGGGCCGTGGCAGCGGTGACATTCGAGACGAAGATTCGCGAGGATCGCAAGATCACACTCTGAAGAAGGAGACATTGATATTGAGCGAATGAGGGCTCACTCGATCTATGAGTTCAGTTTTTAAGTCAAAAGAAACAAGTTAAGTCGCATGGATTACACATGAGTATCCATGCTACCAGCGCCATGTATTTACCAGTGGTACGAGCGTTTCCCTGACTGACTGAAGTGCGCCGAGCTGGAGGATATCAGCTCTTCGAGATATCAAAGGCACCACAGCGTCAGATCTTCATTTTGAAACGAATCTGTTCTCTTCTCGTAGGTACGACAAAGCTATCTAAAGTGCTCTGAAAGATCAGGTGTTGCTTGACGGTATCGATGTCCTGAGGCGAAGGTGATTTCAATTTCATGCAGCTTACGTAGTGGCCCTAGGCCTGTACGCCATTTGGCGCCATCAAGGGGTAAGACTTCCAGCATTCTCTTTGATTAAATCGAAAGGAGACTTTGTGTCAAATCCTTGTTAGAAAACATGCTTTGGCTCGCAGGGCAGAAGAGAATAAAGAGCCAAGGGAGCAAGGGAGTGGGCATCTTGGTACCGTAGTACCACGACGAACACTGCGGTCCCAATGCGGTCAATCAACAGTCAAAGCAAAACGACGTCCAGAATTTGGCTCATGTTGTCCAGTCGGTCTACCATCTCTATATAACAGGCTTCTACCCTTTCTACATATGGACAGATCTCGGCAGTCGATTGGAATTCCAGCACTACAGCTTCAATTTCCGTATCGACAGGCCATGATCATCTCGTCATCCAGAATTATTCAAGATGGTTCTTCTACTCAGAATTGCAATCTTTGCCCTGGCAACTGCTCCTTTGATAGCTGCGGCTCCGACTGATGTTCGATCACCTAGTCCGCCACGCTCGTCCCCACCTTTCACCTTCGAGCAATGGGCTGATGATATTATCAACAACCCCACGGCTCAGCACATATCTGCTAAAGAGGCAGCAGAAGCTTCAATTAGATCTCGGAACATCATCGGTGTGTTCTTCAACTGCCCATGACTTCGTGTAAATTTGTGGTATGGGACCAAGAAAGGTGCTGAATTATCTGCTAAAATCCGACTCTCCGCAACAGGCTGGCAATCTACAACCCCTCACAACACTTCTTGGTCTGAAGAATCCAATGGAAGTCAATCAAATAAGCGCGATAAAGTCTTCCTCAAATCCAAGACTTCTGAAAGTGGCAAGATCATTGATATCAACACCGTTCGATGCAACGGCTTCCCCACAAATATGGCACCGGTATGTCTTGATGTCTACCCACTCTATCTCAGTGGGTCACAAAACAATTCATCTGGCTGACAGTCTGCATTCTATTTTACTGTACTGCAGATTGAGAACGCCGCCTGGTGCATTCAGTGGCTTGCAAACCAAGATGACAACAAGTGCATTGTTATGGAAAAGGAGGTGACAGGGTTCTGCCGCTCAAATGGCGAAACTTTCATTCTCGGATGGAGGAAGAACGAGAAATCTCTGCGCCAGTCAACTTGGTAAGCGCTCGCTCTCGTCCTCAACTTAGGCCTCCTCGCTCCTCAAAGCTACTTTGACTGACAAGATACTCCCGAACCATAGCCAGGAAATCGCAAGAACCGCGGGAAGGATCATGGATTACTGCACAAGTAGCGGATTCGTACAAGGAGAAACAACTGCGTGGAATGATACGGCTACTAGAGTTATGATTCGGACGTTTGAGTCGGGTGCTATTGACAAAAACATCAAGCTTGAGATGTGATTGGATTTTCGAAACAGCTCTCGACGAGCCTAAAGCGTTTCTTTGTTATTTTTTCTTCTTTCTAGAGACGAAAATTGACCTCCTTTTGCTACCTACCTTTGTAGTTTCGTTCGAGTGAAACCTAAATAAACTGCGAAGACTTAGTAGTAACCGTAGGTACTCAACCCAACCATTTACAAAGGACATCGTGACGGATTTTTACACCTTAATCGCTGAGTCGCTCCTTGAAACACAGTTTATAGGATGTATTTCTCAACACTTCATGCATTCATGACTGAAAACTTCTACCTATGGGAAACTGAGAATTTGCCCGCCTCATTCACAAATCGCTAAGAATCTAGACTCAAGACTGACAACTCTCTGGCTGTAGAGTCTGTGAGATTGATAACGACTCATAAAGTGTTTCATCATAAGAAATAAAGTATTTATTAATTGGAAACGTTATGAAATAAAGTCCAAGCTTCATTTTTAATTGTATTCGCCCTCGCCTGTGTGGCGTAGGAGTCTAGAGGAGTATGCCAATAGGCAGACCCTCAGTTGTAGTATGCAACAAGACGAATCGATAAGCATAGGCGCACGGGCCCATCACCCCTTTAGCTACTTCTCCGTTTGCCGGGGTCCTCAACGTCCACCCGAACATCAAAAGCAGCATTGCGCCCATGATGAGTTCGCGGCCCTTCACCTGCACAGAGTGCACGCAGACATTTACGAGAAATGTAGGTATCTTTAAACCTCCACTCAATCATGGTGACTAAGACACGTCAAAGGAAAACTTGGAACGACATAAACGCTCAAGTATGTGTCAGCCCCAAAATTCCAAAGTTGCGAAGCTCACACTTGCCAGGACATGGTAGCGATAGCCGCAGGCCGTTCAAATGCGAAAATTGTAAAGCCAGGTTTACCAGAAAGGATGTGTGCAAGAGACACGCCGAAAGATGTAGAGGCACGTTCAGCCGTGTGTTGATGGTCGCCGGTATTCAGAACGGAGCGGAGCAACCGGCACCGGCCTTTGAAGACACTGCTCTTTCACCAGACGACCAGGATGATTCGCCCTTTTCAACTTCTCAGGAAGGCGTTATCGCTGGAGTTGGAGATGACACCATCTACCCAAATAGCCCACCAGAAGCTGCAGAAGTGCCTGACGCGGATGAGCTTCTAGTGACGGAGTAGGTTATCCAAAGATACGGTCTCATTTCACAACTAACTGATTCCTCAGGATTATGACGAGCGGAACAGAAACTTACGTATCAACGTATTTCGAGAATTTCCATCCATCATTCCCACTTGTGCATCGACAAAGCCTAGGGAATGAGTTACCCAAGTTATCGAAGCAGATCATCGTTTCAATTGGCATGCTATATGCTTCTAGGAATGTGTCTGAGGAGGAAACGGCATCTTTGACGCGGAAGAGCCAAACCCTATGGAATCATGGCCATGATGAACTTTGGCGAGTTGTAAGTCTGAACTGCGATATCAAGTCAAGCATTGACTGTTTTAGTACTATGCTCACCTATGCTAGGTTGAGGCGGACTGGAGAGAAATCCGCAGGACATGGGTTATGCAAGCATGGCTCCTGCATATAATCTATGGGGCCTTCACTGGCAATGCATCTGACTTCGACAAATCAAAGAAAATGTTGCGATGGATTGTAGACGTAAGATGTTCATACTGATAGATGCTGGCTGATTTCTCATTAACCTGACCTGAATAGGCCGCTCGAGACCTCGGTCTCCTCCGTCAAAACGTTTTCCAGTCAACATCCAGGTTCAGAGACTCGGAAGAACAGACATTACACGATCACTGGATTTCATACGTTGAGTCGGAGTCCATGAAGCTATCCATGTACACTCTGCTGTTTCTCGACTTTCATATTTTCTCCCCTTGCAACATTCGCCCGCTTACCACTCCCACCGAGCTCGATTGGGAGCTGCCCCTTGCTTCATCATTATGGGAAGCGGACACATCGTTAGCATGGGCTCAACGGCTCGGAGACGAACCCCGAACCGTCGGACTGACCCGGTCTCACGACACGCCTGGCATGACTTGCCCAACAACAAAATCACTAAACCTTGCCATGCAATCATTGATGACGGACACACCGAGTCCGCAACTTTTAGCGGCGCTACGTGCTTCGCCGATGGCAACACTCTTCGTTCTCACCAGTCTCGATTCACTCGTCAGGGATTTTACCCGGTGCTACTATCAACTCCCACCGGCTTTGGCCGACCCAAACGCGTACCACATTCTCACTCAATCTCAAAACCGACAGGTCAGTGCAGCTTTACGATACGTCTCTGAGATCATCACAACGCAAATCGCAGCGGCAGATAGCTCGAACTGGCACATCTTGAACTTTGCTGAGCGTATCGCGCTCTCTGTTAAGCTTGCGCTCTGCAAACCCGATGATCTTCTGATTGGTGGTATCGTGGAGAATAGCGTCGTTGCTGGCCTCACCACCGCGACACATCTCACCATGGGACTTCAAGTTGGAGCTCGCAGATCGTTGCAAAACCTCCTCAGATACAACTCCGGCGATGACGGGATGTTGATCTTCCTTGATGACTTGATGGACGTCCTGTCAAGTGTGACAAGCATCGAGAGGCAAGATCCGTTGCGAGAAGCGCCGTGGGCGACGGTGGCTACATACAAGATCCTCCTGGCAATATGGAGATTATTGCGATGGGCAACAGGAGAGATGCGACGGAAGTCAGGGACCCAGCCGACCGTCCGCACTCGGTTTGAGGCCTCTACCATTGTCTTCAATTCCATCCTTGAAGTCTTGCAGCGACAAGAGGACATTGATGGCCAAACTCGGCGCCTCTCGGTTCGGGAGTCTACCGCATTAGGCATGGCGTCGGAGGCGAGCGAGGTACGCTTCATGGAAACTGTATTGCAGTTCTGGAAGGGGAGACCTGTTTGGGCAATGGGGTCCTTCATGACAACGGTGCTCGAGGAGGTCATCTCGGCTGGTGGTATGGCTTATGAGTAAGGGTGCGCGGACTAGCGCGCGGCGAGTAGGCCGCTGCCCCGGACTAGGGTTGCTGCGGAGCTCCGCCGCAGCCACCACTTATCTCGAACTGTATATCTACACTTTCAAGAGGCACTTGAATTGTCACCTGGAGTAGTCTGTGACATCCCGAATTTCCCGAGTCGTTTCAATCTTCCAAAGGGGCTTACCACCGGCTATATCCTACACAAAGTCAACGTTGATTGTGTCCCCGTCAAACAGACGCCAAGAAAGTCATGGCTGCACAGGAGAATTTTGGATGGGTATTACTTCCCCTACTATAGTCATCATTCCCTTGTTCACTCACACGTGACTCTAGTTTGGTCTGGGGTCAATGGGAATTGGCATGGCACTGAATCTGCAGAAACACCTCGCATCGAATGGTCTACCGCCTCTTCGGTACAGCAACCGAACGCTTTCGCGAGGTGAATCTCTGCGGGAAGCCGGGGGACTTCCTGAACGAGACTTCGAGACTTTGGTCCTCAAGTCATCCGTCATATTTACAATGGTATTTTCTAATCGTGCTTGTAATTTCGTGGCATTTCCGCAATTGCTTATTGACCATCACAGATCTCAAACGATGAGGTCCTGGACAGTCTTGTATCGAAGGCTCTCGACACTTGGAGCAGCGCCATACTCGAAGGCAAGATATGGGTTGATACATCAACAGTCCATCCAGATACTGCAGCGAGGTGCTCCGAACGTCTTGCTAAAGTGGGCGCTACATTCGTTGCGTCCCCTGTCTTTGGAGCTAGCCCTATGGCGGCCGCTGGTCAGCTCATCTTTGCCATGGCCGGCCCCCCCACCGCTATCGAAAAGCTGAGGCCGTCTGTGGTTAATGTCATGGGAAAAAGCATAATAGATATGGGCGAAGATGTCCGTAAATCAAGCTTGCTCAAGATATCAGGGTGAGCATTTGCGTCTTATTATTGGCCATTGTTGGACCAAATCGGTCCGAGATTGTAATTTGCCCACAATACTAATCACATCTTTCTGGAACAGAAACATCTTTGTCATTGGCTTCCAGGAGTTGACCGCCGAAGCGCAAGTCTTTGCCGAGAAAACCGGGCTCGGTACCCGCCAGATGGAACAGTTCATCAGGGACATGTACGGCCCCGTTATCGAGAGCTACTCGAAGCGCATGACAACGGGCGCATACGCGCCACCCTTGGGGACACCCCCTGGCTTCGCAGTGTCCCTGGCGGCCAAGGATGCCGGACACGCGGTGAGGATCGCCGAGGAGCATGGTACAAGAATACCGACTATCGAAACAGCATTGTCCCGTATGGAGGCCGCTAGGAAGTATGCAGGAGAATCATTGGATAGCTCGTCAATCTATGGTGCAGCTCGGCTCGAAGCCTCATTGCCTTTTTGGAACGAGAATAGCAGACAGTCTAATTAGAATGAATTTGTCTTTGAAGTCAGTCACTTGGACCGTTCTTCAGACGGAAAATTTGTCAAAATAGTGCACGAAGGCAAGAAATCATTCCTGCTGTCATGATTGACGATTCACTGCCCCTTATACCTCTACAAAGTTCAATATTGAACAACCAGATATCACGGATGGCCCAAACCTTTCCCAGTAACACCAGACAGTGTACTGGTATAGGGATTTGCGTCACTCCAAATTACATGACTAGGCGTACATATCCCACAAAGCCAGCTAACCATGACCTACTGACCCGGATCCGGAGAGAGGGAACGGGGCTCCGCTGATCCATCCAGCTGGATACTAGCTCCATAGACAACTGTCATGTTATCTAGCGCCATGTGTTAGAGTGTGTGTCAAGGAGCGAGGAAAGACTCGGAGATAACGGCAACGGCACTCAGCCGGGATATGGATGTCTCATCCCGTCGTACCCCAAGATTGCGGAGCTCGCTGCGTCGACCGGGCCAACCTCAAAATGCGGGGGCGGAGCTCCGTTGGCGTGCATGAGACGACGGTGGATCCAAGATAGCAGCATGACCGAGCTTGATGTGAAAATCCCCTTTCTCAGCGATAACCAGCCCAAGCCACGCTCAAGTCGAGCGTAGCTGGGGTTGCTACTACCACAAAGGCCACCCCATGCCAATCGCTCCAAGATCAGCCTCAATCAAGATGAGAAAGGGAGGACTTACTGCTGCTATTGCTCAGCACAGGACACCTATAAACCCCGAGCTTTCCCAACCAGCCCCTTGAGACCTCCTGGTATCTGCTATAAGATACTCCCAACCTGATCAGGCCAACCTCGACAAAACTTTTGGCTCTTCGACTTCGAGGTAGACCTCTACTTGGGCCTTCCCTCTCTTTCACTCTCACATATCAAGAGGAAATCCTGTGTCGTGAGGGTCTTCGACCAGCGCATCTCCAGACACCCACTACAGAGACCGTTCATCAGTACCTCACTCGGTCAAAGTTCCCAATAATGTCTTCTGAAATCAACAAGAAGACAGCACAGCCAGACGGTGGCGATGTCATCCGAACCCATACCGACTTCGAGGACGGCAGCATGGAGAAGCTCAAGCATGGCGAAGTTGATCCGGCCCTGGCATTTGCCAATGGAGAAGAAGTCACCTTCACCCCTGAAGAGGAACGAAAAGTCCTATGGAAGATTGACAGAGCCATCTTGCCCCTTCTGATGTGGATTTACGCTCTTCAATTCGCTGACAAGACGTCCCTAAACTATGCCTCGTTGATGGGCATTCGTGAGGATACGGGCCTCAACCCCAAAAGTCAGGAGTACAGCTGGGCTTCTTCCATCTTCTACGCTGGCTACCTCCTCTGGGAGTGAGTTTCATTATCATCTCAGAACTAAAGACTATTTTGCTGATTACTTCAAGGTTCCCTACGACATATCTCCTTCGACGCCTGCCTCTCGGAAAGTACACATCGGCCAACATCATCCTTTGGGGTGTTGTCCTAGTCTGCCACGTCTTCGCTTTCAACTACGCCGGCCTCCTCTCGGTCCGCTTCTTCCTCGGCGCCCTCGAAGCCACCGTGACACCAGCTTTCGTCATCTTGACCTCGGCGTGGTATAAGCAGAACGAGCAGGCAAAGCGCATGGGTTACTGGCTCAGCTGCAATGGTGTTGCCCTGTTGACCCTTGGTCCCATCGCCTACGGCCTTTCTGGTGCCCATAACACAGTCCTGGCAACTTGGAAGGTTCTGTACCTGGTCCTTGGCTTGCCTACCGTCATCACTGGCGTCTATTGTTGGTGGTTCATGCCCGACAACCAAACCAATGCCAAGTTCCTCAACCACCGAGAGAAGACAATTGCTATCGAGCGCATCCGTGGCAACTTCCAGGGTATCGGAAGTCGCAAGTGGAAGTGGGATCAGTTTTACGAGGCTTTCAAGGACCCCCGAACCTACCTCTACGTTCTCTTCTCGCTGCTCATGAACATCCCCAACGGAGGTATCACTGCCTTTGGATCCATCATTATCAACTCTTTTGGCTTCAACTCCCGCCTGTCCCTCCTTCTCAACATGCCCACAGGCGTTGTTGATATTACCTGCAAGCTCCTGTTCACGTACCTTTCGGACAAATTCATGGATCGATCCCTCTTCGCCTTCATCGCCATCCTCATCCCGATGATTGGCGGCATCATGATGATCGTCATCCCCCTCTCAGCTCAAGGTGCCTTGCTCGTCGGCTACTACCTCATCGGAGCCGCGGGCTCATCGTGGTGCCTCGTCATGGTCATGATCTCAAACAACACTCTCGGCTACACGAAGAAGGCCACTGTCAACGGACTCCAGATCCTCGCTTACGGAGCTGGTAACTGGATCGGCCCGCAGACTTTCCGTTCCAACGAAGCGCCCAACTATCACAACGGCAAGCTCATGGTCGCCATCATGTATGGCCTTGCCGCCTGCACCATCGTTGCTATTCGGCTTGTCAACATCTGGGAAAACAAGCGGCGGGATAAGAAGGCGGCGGAGGAGCCGGAGGTCATCGCATCAGGAACTGAGTTTTTGGATTTGACGGATTTCGAGCAGCCTGCCTTCCGATATGTTCTTTAGGAGTGTCAAGTACTCTTGTCTGAGAGCACCATAGAGGGATGCACTTGCTCACTTTTATCATTGAGATACTTGCCGGCTTGAGGTTGTAATGTTCTAGAACATTGAGATTGAAAAGGTAAATGCAGACATGTCTTTTCCATCTCCAGGAATTATTACAGAATGGACATGCATCACCAGCCGGCCACCCCGTATCCTTATGACACCAGACATTACATCTCTCGTGTATGATTGAGCCAAATAACTGCGTGATACCAAATCAATCCTGTCAGCTTTGACTCCGCAAGCTGCCAGTCGGTCTTGATACCGCACATCGTAGGGAAGCATGTGATATGGTTCGTTATTAGACTGAGCCTGGAATAATTGCATTACACACTTTTTATCGACTTTTGAAAACAGCAGATACATTCATCAAGCGCTCGATGGAGTCAAAAAACACGTTCTTGGTTGTTCTCCAAACCTTTACATAGGCTCCTTATATGAAGTTTTGTTCAGGGATGTCAGAAAGAGGAGGCTTGGAAAACTTAGGCTTCATTACGACGCCTCGTAAGTCTACGCATATTTGTGTTGGAGCCATCTCGCACTCAACGGGACAAAGAGACCGCCGGTTTGCAAGCAATTGCTCTGGGTCACAATCGCAACAGGAAGAGAATTATCAGAACAATTGCTTGCAAAACAGTCACTACGAATTAGCTGAATCACTGATCTTTGACCTGCAGGCAACATAACAAACCTGTTGGAAAGGATTGTGCGTTGCTCAAACACGGTGTTTATATCCACATTCTATTTGTTCATGAGAAACTCCTCAAAATCCTCGTCAGGCAGCGCAGGCTGCTCATCAACGCCATCAAGCAGTCCAAGGTACCAGGTCAAATCTCGGCCATCCTGCTCGCGTTGCGCAAAGCCGTTGCCCCAGTATCCGAATCGATTGCTCGTCGTATACTTGAGATCGTAGTCCTCCCAGCGCGGGGTGGCAATTGTC